ACGAGATGGCTAGAAAGAATCAAGGAAGAGAGTGGAGCGGACTCACTCCGGAAGCCGCCATGTTTAGTGTACCGTTCAAGTGAGTAGGAGATATGATAGGATCATGATGGAACATACGGTGCATATATTAGCGCTGTGTTCGAAAATTCACTGCTAATGCTGAAAATGTAGTACACGCGACGTAAACTATAGATTTTCAGAGCTGGCAGTGAAGTTTGGACCACAGCCTAGTATTGTACCCATGAATGTATGAATGTCTGGACGAAGTTTTCAGGCGCGAGAGATGACGAGTTTAGGGAAGGTGAGAGTCGCCATATTGTTTGACATTGATTCTGCTTTCTAACGGTAAAATAATAAAATAACTGTGGCTGCGTTCCTTTTCACGCATGCTGCATTATTCTCTTGTTATTCACTAAATGTTAAATAAGGATAAATGATACATCATCTGTTTCATACGTGAAACGGAATGCAGCATGTGTATAATACTGCTGGATATCTTGACAAAAACAATAATTGCTTTCCATTTACACCGATTCTTAGATAATTCTCACTCGTGACGTAACTCAGTTGAAGTGTTCCTTTTACATTCTGACAATTGAGATTTAATTGAATTGCCTATAATCTACACAAGATCGAGACCGTATGCTTTAGTGAATTTCGTAAACCCTCTTTAAAAGTCAGATTCAAATCTGTGTTGTCTGTGATAACTTTTTACCAAACTAAGCAAATAACGATGACGTCATTAATCTGAATATGAAATACTCAGCTCACTTCTCAGACTCAATTTTACTTGTGTGCAAATAGAAAGCAACTAATATTGTGCATACGAAATTTTATATTTTTCTAAAATAAAATAATGCCACATTATATTGCAATCGGTAGCAATGAAAGTTACATAAAAAGTTACATAAAAACTAAGGAGCAAATTAATCAAGAGCAAAATGTCGAAATAAGTTTTCATCGTACATAGTTATAACAATAAAATACAATAAAAATAAAAATTCAATGTAAAATAAATAAAAAAGAGGCTATATTCAATAAGTCACTTTAATGCTAATTCAGGAAATAATGTAAAATTAAATTTTACATTATTTGATATAATTTGAATAAACGTTTCGGCCTACACAAGATCACTATCAATATCGCAACGTACCGATAATTACGAAAACAATTTAAAAAATTATATAAAAATTAAAATTCTAATAATATCTAAAGCCATGTTAAAATATTATTAATATAAAATTCGAAGCAGTATTATATATTTTATATTAATAAATGTTTGACATGATTTTGGATTTTATTATATAGAATTTGTATGCGACCTTAACTGTTACTACTTACAATTACCGATTCTTTGTAATGTTAATTATAATCTTGTATATAGGTATATATAGGTGTGTCAAAATATTTGTTCAATTATATTTATACTCGGATGATATTTCCGAACCCAGTCCTAGTATTGTATATATGACACATATGTATAACGAGGAGCAAAAATGAGTTTGTTCGATGTAATACATATACATACGTTGGCGGCGCGCTCATCTACATTAACGCATATATTAAGGCTTAATACAATAGGCACAGACAATAAAGAATAACGAGTCGCCTAATCAGAGCTCTGAAGTGTAAATTCGATATTATATCCCAGAGGCTGATTGGACGGCTCGTTATGCCTTTGTGTCTATTGTGTTTAAGCCTGAAGTACAAGCTCATTTTTGCTCCTTATTATACATACAGGATGCGTTCGGGGAAACATTATTCGCGCTATGAACGCAAACGATACCAACGCTGTTCTTGGAGCCAATGCGCAATAGCGTTAGCAAACTCCATGAACGATTCTAGCGTAGAGAGATATATTCGTCGAAATTAAGTTAATGTAGGGGATTCAGTTTTCAATCACCAACCAAACTTTTCTCTATATTTTTAATTAAAATTTTTAAGGTCTTGTAAAGTTTATAACGTAAATTTTTAATTTTCTAGTGCATAACAGAACGCAATCTCAATTGCAATCTCTATGATTGAGTTTGCCGCTAAGCCGGAGTGAACAATGTAAACTAGATCAAAAAATTAATAGTTACATTAAGTAAAATTTCAGTTTTAATCAAATAAAAGGAAGAATCCTTGAGCATTCGTTGTCGATTTCAGAAGAAGAATCTCATATCTACATCTAATAAGGACTTTAAGCATCTGCAGCAGAATACTCTGCCGCGCTATACTTCAATAATAACTTTTTTCCGTACACGGGAATTAAAAATTGTCAGTAACAAGATACCTCTGACTTTCACATTTATAATGAAATTAAATACACAAGTTAAACTTCGCAGAAACTTTGAAAAGTAAAAGATGATACACAAGCAAGAAATACGTACACTCCAGCCTAGTAGCAAACTATTAGCAGAGATTAAAATTGAGATTGCATTCATTATGATAAAATTTGAAATTCACACATTACGTACTCTACGAAATTCTAAGAGAGAAAAGTTTGGTGTTATTCGAAAACAGAGTTTTCTCCTCAAACAACATCTTAACTAACTGATGAATATTAAATGCTACACTAGGATCGTTCACGGATCTGTAAACGCTAACGCTACTAATACACTACCTTGGAAAGAATAGCGTTGATAACGCGCAGTTGTAATGTAATATGCTACCTTTAGTGACATCATGTTTGTTAGCGTTATCTGCAGTTCCACGTACAGTTTGTAGCGCTAAATAGCGCGAATAGCGCTCCCCGAATGCATCCAGTGTACTACAAATGGAACCAATCAGAGAAGAGAATCACTAACCGCTCCCTTGTTTCTCTCTGAGATGGCTAGAGTCCTATATATACAGAGATCCGACATCGAATCCCCACTACCAAATAGAATCTCTACTATCACTCCTGCGCCGCCATATTTGGACCGCTCCAGTATCGTAAAAAAATAAACATACTTTAATCTTGCTCCAATCTCCAACACTCTGTATTTCGTAGTGGCGTTATTGATCTTTCTGATTTACTAAAGGCAGGAGCCAAAATTGAAAAAGAAGAATCATTGCTACTAGCAGTCCATGTTGTATAATCAAAGTCTCTATCATGAGAGTATGGATCATGTTATTTTTTCTCTAGATGTAACTTTTGTTTTTCTATTGAAAATCATCTGTATATACACTATCGCTAATACATCCATTTTCGGTTTTGGATATTACGTACATCCATTTTCTAACTCTGTCGATAAAATCATAATCACCGCAGACGAGCTGATACTATTGGTCTGTTTTCCTGCACTAGACTGTTCTAGAATTCTTTTTCTCGCTTTAAACAAATATCAAACTGTAGCGGATTGCTACATATAATAAATGTAGGTATTGGAGAAAACTCATATTCGTAAATAATAATTCATTTATTTATTATCACATACAATATCTTATCGCAGCAATGTAACTCGACTTGTCTGGACGGTTAAAAAACAAAGAACAGCAGATATCTAGATGGGAAATTCAGCATGATGTTCGTGAGAGCGCGCCATCTAGTCGCGGAGTGTGTGAATCTAAGCGAGTGTAAGGCATGGTGAAGTATAACTGAGAGTGTGAGAATGTGTATGTGTGTGTGTAAAAGTGTAACGTATCTCCACAAAACGTATATCTATCTCACTTTAAGTTCCAAAAGTGTACACTAGCCACAGAAAGCACCTTATATAATACATTAAAAGACGGTCGACCTGAGTAAATTTTCATGATTTCATGATCAATCCGGGGATAATTGAAGTCGACAATTGATATAAAATTATGATTATTAACGTATTGAATGTTTGGATAATACACAATTATTAAATTCATGATTTTTTTATTATATAAATTCTGCATAAATAAGTATAACTTGTAATACTATAATATCTTATAATCTTATATACTATTGCCGCAAAATTATTTTTATTTCTCTATAGTTATCATATTGATAATTGAATTCTGACGATAACATTAAAATCATAATTTTAAACAAAAATCGAGCATCATATCGAGTTTTAAACATATGTACATGTCTACAAAATTAATAAAATTAGTATTATATTATCGATGTCTTTTATTATCAATTATTTAAATTTTAATGATCACGCGAATTTATAACTTTTGTAAACTCGCCCGTCTTTAATAATATCTTGTCGGTGTTAATACTTATTATTACATTCTTCTCTGTAATTGCATCAATTTTCCGAATTTTACAATAAAATTTTTCATTATTGTAATTTTTCTTTAATATAGTTTTATTTTAAAAGAAGAATTTAAAGTATAAATTAGATAAAGTATAAATTAGATTTTATAGAAGAATATAAAGTTATATAATTGAACTGTGTATCCGAAATTCGCATGCTCAGACATGGCACATTATATACACAGTACAGTAATAATAAAGGTGTTTAGAAAAATAGGAGAGAATAGAATTCATTGAGCTTAAAAATTTTATAACCTTTCTTATATATATATATATATATA